CTGCTGTGAGAACAAGTCAAGGATAGCCTGCTGGAGGATGAGACATCCTAGATAAGGCCAACCTAGACTAGCCAGCACCATGCCAATCCACCAGCAGGAGCAAGTCTAGCCAAATCAGCTGAGTTCAGCCTGAATCAGTCAAGTCCAGCCTAGATCAGCCCAGCCCAGCCCAGCCTGGAACAGCCAAGTACAGCCCAGATCAGCTTAGTACAGTCTAGATCAGCTAAGTCCAGCCTAGATCAGCCCAGCCCAGCCTGGAACAGCCAAGTACAGCCCAGATCAGCTTAGTACAGTCTAGATCAGCTAAGTTCAGCCTAGATCAGCCAAGCCCAGCCTAGATCAGCCAAAAACAGCCTAGATCAGCGAGAGACAGCCTAGATTAGCCAAGTACAGCCTAGATCAGCCAAGCCCAGCCTAGATAACCTAAACTCAACCTGGATCAGCAGAGCCAAGGCTAGATCAGCCAAGTCCAACTTAGATCAGGCAAATTCAGCCTAGATCAGCCATATCCAGCCTAGATCAGCCAAAGACAGCCTAGGTCAGCCAAATTCAGCCCAGGTCAGCCAAGTCCAGCCCAGATCAGCCAAGTCCAGTCCAGATCAGCCCAGCCCATCCTGGATCAACTGAGCAAAGCCCAGATCAGCCAAGCCCAGATTAGCCAAGTCCAGCTTAGATCAGCTAAGTCACAGCCAACCTGTAGTTCATGAAAAATAACATGTGATTGTTTTCAGTCACCATATTTTGGTGTTATTTGTCATACGGCATATTGAGTGGGTGCTTGGGGTTTCTCACTGGCTGTGTGTGTCCTGAACATGAAACTGTACCACCTCTTAAGGGCTGGGGTGCAGGCTCTAGAGTTAAACTGCCAGGATTCGAATCCAAGTTTCATATTCCTTTCCTGGGGAGGTAGTCTTTGTTTTTGGACAGAGGACAGAGGAACCAAAAACAAAGCAGTTGTCTTAGGAAAGGAGGGGGCAGTGAAGTCCACAGGATGAGCAGGGCCTTACTGCCCCAACTGGTGGACATCACAATGTGGGCCCAGCACAAGAATTTATTTATTTATTTTTGTTTTTTGAGACACGGTCTTACTCTGTTGCCCAGGCTGGAATGCAGTGGTGTGATCCTAGCTCACTGCAGCCTTGATATCCTGGGCTCAAGCGATCCTCCTACCTCAGCCTCCTGAGTAGCTGGGACTACAGGCATGTTCCACCCACTTGTCTAGGGAGTTTTTTTTTTGAGATGGAGTTTTATTCTGTCACCCAGTCTGGAGTGCAGTAGTGCAATCTTGATTCACTGTAATCTCTGCCTCCTGGGTTCAAACAGTTCTCCTGCCTCAGCCTCCCAAGTAGCTGAGATTACAGGCACCTGCCACCATGCCTGGCTAATATTTGTATTTTTTAAAATTTATTTTATTTTCTAATATTTGTATTTTTAATAGAGACAGGGTTTCACCGTGTTGCCCAGGCTTGTCTTGAACTCCTGACCTCAGATGATCCACCTGCCTCAGCCTCCCAAAGTGTCAGGATTATAGGCATGAGCCACTGCACCCAGAGGGAATTTTTTTGTTTTTAATTTAGCTTTTATTAAGTCAAAGTTATATCTGTACCTGAATTAAAGAATCAAATAGGGCCGGGCGCGGTGGCTCAAGCCTGTAATCCCAGCACTTTGGGAGGCCGAGGCGGGTGGATCACGAGGTCAAGAGATCGAGACCATCCTGGTCAACATGGTGAAATCCCGTCTCTACTAAAAATACAAAAAATTAGCTGGGCATGGTGGCGCGTGCCTGTAATCCCAGCTACTCAGGAGGCTGAGGCAGGAGAATTGCCTGAACCTAGGAGGCGGAGGTTGTGGTGAGCCGAGATTGCGCCATTGCACTCCAGCCTGGGTAACAAGAGTGAAACTCTGTCTCAAAAAAAAAAAAAAAAAAAAAGAATCAAATAGTTCAGTGTGACATTACATACAATAGCAAGTCTCTGCCTTTTCCATTCTTCCTGTTTTCTGCTTTCCAGACACAGGACTTTCAACTTTTTAATTTTTTAATTATGTACATATTTTATTTTTTTAGAGACAGGGTCTTGCTATGTTGCCCAGGCTGAAGTGCAGTGGATGTTCACAGGCGCGATCCCACTACTGATCAGCATGGGAGTTTTGACCTGCTCTGTTTCCGACCTGGGCCAGTTCACCCCTCCTTAGGCAACCTGGTGGCCCCCCGTTCCTGGGAGGTCACCATATTGATGCCAAACTTAGTGCGGACACCCGAGTGGAATAGCACACTACAGCCCAGAACTTCTGGGCTCAAGCGATCCTCCCACCACAGCCTCCTAAGTAGTTGGGACCACAGGCATGCGCCTGGCAGGACTTTCAACTTATTAAAGTCCACAGGATAAGCAGGGCCTTACTGCCCCAACTGGTAGACATCACAACACAGGCCCAGTGCAAGAATTTATTTTTTATTTTTGTTTTTTGAGACAGAGTCTCACTCTATTGCCCAGGCTGGAGTGCCAGGCTCTCTATATATATCAATGATATAAAGAGATATATCGCATTTTTTTTTTTGTTTAAACAAGGTCTTGCTCTGATGCTCAGGCTGGAGTGCAGTGGCATCATCATGGCTCATTGCAACCTCTGCCTCCTGGGCTCAAGCAATCCTCCTACCTCAGCCTCCCGAGTAGCGGGGACTACAGGTGCATGTATCGTACCCAGCTAATTTTTGTGTTTTTTGTAGAGATGGGGTTTCACCATGTTCCCCAGGCTGATCTTGAGCTCTTGGGCTCAAGTGATCCTCCCGCCTCAGCCTCCCAAAGTGCCACAGGTGTGAGCCACCGTGCTTGGCCTAAAAAGCATTCTAAATAGTTGTGTCTTCATTTCAGGCCATATCTATTGATTTCCCACCAGGGAAGATTTAGCTCTTGTCACCTCCTTCCCTCTCCACACACCTGTCCTCTCTGACCTTCGTCTTCCCAGTATCCTTAAGTCATGATTCAGTGAAATTAATATTCACTTTTTACTCATTACTGTGACTTTGAAAATGCTTTTCACCACTGAATGATGTAGACTGCTATGACAGCCTTTACTTCTTGTGCAACTTTCTCTGCATGAATTTCCCAGTGACTGCTGTAAGCCCCAGGGATGGGCAAAGCATGTTCTCAAACTCTCACTCCACCCCGTGCCAGCCCTGAGAGAGAGAGAGAGAGACAGAGAGAGACACAAAGAAAAACAGAGACAGAGAGAGAAAAAGAGAGCGACAGAGAGAAATACACAGAAAGAGAAAGAGACAGAGAGAGAGATAGGGAGACAGAGAGACAGAAAAACAGGGACAGAGACACACAGAGAGAGACAGAGACAGAGAGACACAGAAACAGGGAGACAGAGATGGAGACAGAGAGACAGAAAAACAGGAACAGAGATACACGGAGAGAGACAGAGGGATACACAGAGAGAGACAGAAAGAGAGACAGGGAGGTAGAGACAGAGAGACACACAGGGAGACAGAGAGACACACAGGGAGACAGATGGAGAGGGAGAGAGAGACAGAGAAAGAAAGGAGAGACAGAGAGAGAGAAAAGAGAGACAAAGAGACTGAGACAGAGACAGAAAGAGACAAAGAGAGACACACAGAGAGGCAGAGAGAGGCAAGCCGGAGTCCTCCCAGGATTGGGGAAGGCCACTCTTTTTTCTGAGATGGAGTTTTGCTCTGTCACCCAGGCTGGAATGAAATGGCACTATCTCGGCTCACCGCAACCTCCGCTTCCCAGGTTCAAGCGATTCTCCTGCTTTAGCAAGGAAAAGGAAGGAACTACACACGGTCCCCAACTTACAATGTCTCCACTTACATTTTCATTTTTATTTTTTATTTTGGAGACAGATCTCTCTCTGCCACCCAGGCTGGAGTGCAGGGCTGCAAGCATGGCTCACGGCAGCCTCAACCTCCTGGTGTCACGTGATCGTCCCACCTCAGCTTCCCGAGTAGCTAGGACCTCAGGCGCGTGCCACCACGCCTAGCAAATTTTTTGTAGAGATGAGGTTTCACCATGTTACCGAGGCTGGTTTCTAACTGCTGAGCTCAAGCGATCTGCCCGCCTTGGCCTCCCAAAGTGCTGGGGTTGCAGGCGTGAGCCATCATGCCTGTCTCACTTACAATTTTTTGACTTTACAATGGTGTGAAACCATCACAATTTTGAAATAAAGCACTGTATTCAACAAATGACTTGAGATATTCAATACTTCATTATAAAATTGACTTGGTATTAGATGATTTTGCCCAACTTTAGACTAAGGTAAGTGTTACGTTTCAGGGAGGCTAGGCTAAGCCAGGGTGTTGGGGAGGTTTGGTGTATTAAATGCTTTTTTTTTTTTTTTTTTTTTTTTTTTTTTTTTTTTTTTTGAGATGGAGTCTTGCTCTGTTGCCCAGGCTGGAGGACAGTGTCGCTACCTTGGCTCACTACAGCCTCCGCCTCCTGGGATCAAGCAATTCTCCTGCCTCAGTCTCCCAAGTAGCTGGGATTACAGACATGTGCCACCATGCCTGGCTATTTTTTGTATTTTTAGTAGAGAAGGGGTTTCACCATGTTGCCCAGGCTGGTCTCGAATTCCTGGGCTCATGCAATCCTCCCTTCTTGGCCTCCTAAAGTGCTGGGATTACAGGCATGAGCCACTGCGCCTGGCCTTTTTTTTGGGGTGGGAGCACATCCTCTTTTTTAACTTGCCCCGCAGCCTGAGTCATTCATGGCCCTCGATGTGTGAACTCACACCACCTGTTCATTCTTGGTCCTGCTTTTGTTGAGGCCCCAGGCTGCCAGCTGGTGTCATTGCAACTCGCTCATGGGCTCAAGTGTCCCGAAGTCATTTCTCATGTAAGCCCTGTCCAGTTGCCAGGGCAGGGTGGTCCTGTGCAGGTTTTGCATGCGGTGGACACGGTGGCTCCTCCAAGCCTGTGGCTGGTGGCTGAGTGGTAGCACTGCTCTTACATAATCAGTTTCTCCCCTCCTTTCTCTTCCCAGAGCCAAATTTCACACTGAGCAGCTGCAGTCGGAGAAATCAGAGAAAGCATCACCCAGCCCCAGATACTGAGGGACCTGCCAGCGGCTCTCTCCTCCTGCTCCTCGGAAAGGAAGACCCTGAGGTCATTGGTTCAGACCCACTCCTGGGCTGCCATGGGACTCGCAGCCACTGCCCCCTGGCTGTCCTCCATGCTACCGGGCAGATAAGGGCAGCTGCTGCCCCCGGGGCACCTGCCCGCTTCCGCTGCCCAACCACTCCTCCAGGGCCAGCCCTTCCCTGACTTGGTGGCCACCTCTGCTGCCCCGAGGCCATGTAGGCCACGCTCAGGCCTCCATAGACACTCCACTGGGGATGATTCCTGAGCTCCTGGGGGGACGAGGAACACTACCATGCCCTGGGGCTTCGCCTGGCTGCGCTGTGAGTACTGGGGTGTCTCTGGGGACCTGCCCTGGGAGGCCTTGGCCGAGATCCAGGTTCTGCCATGGCTATAGCAACCAGGGCATTCTCGCTGGTGAGAAGCTGTGATGCTTCCCAGCCTGACTGCAGACACCCTGTGGGGTTCCCACGGCCACCCTCTGCCCTGTCTGCTGCTGACCTCAGGCTCCGATGGGCAAGCTGAGTGGGTGGTTCTGGCTGGGTGGGCATGGTCCCCAGGGTGGTCTTAGGTTGGGACAGGCACTGGAGGTAGGTGGCAGCATCTCACTTTTCCAGGCTTGTGGGCGCTGGGGAGCCGTGTGCAGGCAGCGGCAGCATGGTCCCGGGTGTGGCCGGTGGGGGTGGGGCAAGGGCTGGTGAAAGTGTCCAGGAACCCAAGACCCACCGCAGAAGAGCAGCCAGGTGCCTGGAGAAGGCAGCCTGTTCCCCTCCAACTCTCCCTCCATAACAGAACAGAATTCAAAAGCAGAAAGATAACATTGTTGGTAAAAAGAAAAATAAGTTGAAATGAGGACAGGAAGTAAAAAAAGGATCTGGAAGCCTCTCATGTCTGCTGGGTGGGATGCCAGACCAAGATCCCTTCACTCTCCAAGACTCAATTTAATTGACTCAAATTCATCACATTTTTCTGGTGCCTTCCACGTGCCCACTGCAGTCACTCCCATGACAACAAGGACCTTGCTGTGTCGTGCCTCTGTCTCCAGTGCCTGGCACAGGGTTGAGTGCTCGGAAACTGGTTGAGGCCATGGGTATGAGCCTTGGAGGGATTCAGAGAAGAGTTGGCTCCACGCTGGCCCTTGTGAAAAGATACAACAAAGGGTTGGGACATTAGGGACAGGCGGTGGACCTAGTGTTCTGGAAGCGCCTAGGTCATGAGGATCAGGGGTACAGCGTAGGGGACAGGCTGCTGGAAATGGTCTGGAAGGTGGGGTGGTGTTCATACAGGTAGACCTGAGGTCATGAGGCCTGTGTCCCAGGGAGAGGGACCAATGTGAGCAAAGTTTCGGCGACAGGATGATGAAAGGCCAGGCTGGAAGCTGGTTTGGACCCAGGTGGCTGAGGCCTTGGAAGCCAGGCAAAGCGTGCCACCCTCACCCACAGCAGGCAGCCCTGGAGGATTTGAGAGCCAGTGGGGGTGGAGTCGTGCTTGGGAGTTCCTCTGCTCCTGAAGATCAGTCTGGCGGTGCTTGTAGGAGTTGCTGTTGTTACTGTCTGCACAGGAGGAAATGGGGGTCATTCTGGAGGTAGAGGTGTGAATGAAAGGCAAAGGATGCTGAGCGGGTGGCTCACACCTGTGATCCCAGCACTGGGGAGGCCACGGCAGGAGGATGGCTTGAGGCCAGGAGTTTGAAACCAGGCTGGGCAACATAGTGAGACCCCATCTCTAAAAAAAGAAAAATTAGCTGGTGTGGCAGCATGCACCTGTAATCCCAGCTACTCAGGAGGCTGAGGTGGGGGGATCACTTGAGCCCAGGATATTGAGGCTGCAGTGAGTGAGGGTTGCATCATTGTACCGCAGCCTGGACAACAAAGTGAGACCCTATAAAAAAAGAAAGAGAGAGAGAGAGAGAGAAGATAGAAAAGACAGAAGGAAAGGAAGGAAGGCAGAAAGAAAGAAAGCAAAGAGAAAAGCAAGGGAGAGGGGAGAAAGCTCCAGGAGGCGTGTCTTAGGACCGGGCTAGGACTGGCTGGGGGATGAGGGAGAGGAGGGGTAGCAGATTGAGGTGGGGGCTGGTGCTCAGGGGCTGAGGTGCTGAGGAAGTTGGGCTGCCATAACCAATTAGTACTCTTCGGGTGGCTTAGAGCAACAGGAACGTATTGTCTCACAGTTCTGGAGACTGAAGTGTGAGATCAGGGTATCCACAGGGCCAGGTTCCCTCCAAAGGCACTGGGAAGGAGCCTTCCTTGCCTCTTCCAGCTCCTGGCAGCTTTGGCCTCCTTGGCCTGTGGCCAAGTCATTCGGATCTGCCTCTGTCTTCATGTGGCCGGACTCTGTGTGTCTCTGTGTCCCCTCTTTTTCTTCCAGGGACACTCGTCATTGGATTTAGGGAGCTGTCTAAATACCGGATGGGCTCATCCTGACATCCTTCATTTAATAACACCTGCAAGTGGCACAGGACAGGCAAGCCCCCAAGTGGGGCTTAGCCTGAGAGGGTTCTTGGCTTTGGCTCAGAGAGAATTCAAGGCAAGCTGCTGTTAGAAGAAAACAGCTTTACTGAAGAGGTGTTACAGCTCCGTGCCAGCTCCTGCAGAATAGGTCTGTGCCAGAGGAGTTGTACTGGGGAGCAGCTCAGGGGCATTTGCAGTCATATTTATTCCCACTTCAAATTGCATGCAGATTAAGGGGCAGTTTATGTAGACATTTCTCGGGAAGGGGTAGTAACTTTTGGGTTACTGGGTCATTGCCGTGGAAAGGAGTGGTAACGCCCAGGTGTTGCCATGGCAATGGTAAACTCACAGGGTACACTGCTGGGCGTGTCTTTTCGAATGCTGCTTCTGCCTATCTATCCCTGTTTCCACTTTGCTCCGGTGTCAGAGCTCCGCCTCTGGCGTTGGTCCTCCCTCCTACTTCACAGAGACCCTATTTCCAAACAAGGTCACGCTCTGAGGTTTGGGTAAATGTGGATTTGGAGGAGATGCTATTTAACCCACAGCACAGGTTCAGATTTGGTCCCTGGGGCTGGGAGTGACAAGGCTTACTTGTCACTGCACGTAGGGTCATCACAGGGAGGGGGCAGGTCCCTCTTGCCCCCCACCTGGGGCCAGGGAACCAGGAAGGGAGCACTGTACTCATGCGGACCTTTCTTCAGCCCCTCTCTGTTCTGCAGGTTGTTTTATTTATTTTTATTTTATTTCTTTATTTAAAACTGAGTCTGGCTCTGTTGCCCAGGCTGGAGTGCAGTGGCACTTTTTCAGCTCACTGCAACCTCTGCCTCCCAGGTTCAAACAACTCTCATGTCTCAGCCTCCCGACTAGCTGGGACTACAGGCACCTGCCACTGCGCTCAGGTAATTTTTGTATTTTTATTTTTATTTTTTGAGATGGAGTTTCACTCTTGTTACCCAAGCTGGAGTGCAATGGCTCGATCTTGGCTCACTGCAACCTCTGCCTCTTGGGTTCAAGCAATTCTCCTGCCTCAGCCTCCCGAGTAGCTGGGACTACAGGTGTGCACCACCATGCCCAGCTAATTTTTGTATTTTTAGTAGAGACGGGTTTTCCCCATGTTGACCAGGATGGTCTCGATCTCTTGACCTCGTGATCCACTCGCCTCAGCCTCAATCCCAACCCAAAGTGCTGGGATTATAGGCGTGAGCCACCGTGCCCGGCCGTAATTTTTGTATTTTTAGTAGAGACGGGGTTGGCCAGGCTGGTCTTGAACTCCTGACCTCAGGTGATCTGTCTGCCTTGGCCTCCCAAAGTGCTAGGATTACAGGCATGAGCCTTCGTGCCCAGCCTATCTTGCAGGTTCTTGCTTCTGGGGTAAGATGAGGGCAGGCAGGGGTCTCTTGACCAGGATCAGGGGTGGCACTGGCTGTGGGGTTCCTGGTATGCAGAGCATGTGGGGGACAGTGGCCTTGAGGTTGGAGCTGTGCTGCCCCTGCCTGGACCCTGTTTGGTAACCTGTTTCTCTGGGTGGGTGGAGGCAGCAAAATAAGAAACTGATACTTAGGAGTGATGTTTGGGCTGCAGCCTTAGAGGAAGGCTGCCCAGCTGGGGGAGGGGCAGATCACCTGTGGACAGGGCTTCCAGGGCAGCCTGTGTGCCCACCGTGCCAGGCTGGAAGGCGCAGTGTCACTCCACGGCACAGCCCCTGCCTCGAGGCCACAGCTGCCGGGTCCCCAGCTGCCGGGTCCCCAGCTGCCGGGTCCCCAGGGCCCCAGAACAGGACACAGAGAAGGGCAGCTGCTGTAGGATTGGGGGGTAGACGGCCAATGGTGATGGCCATACAGGAAAAAAGACCCAGTATGGACAGAGGTACTGATTTTTGTTTTAAAGAAAAGCTGAAATTGTGAATTTTTATGTGAAACCCCTGTGGACCAGAGGCTTGCAACTGTTGCTGTAGGTCTGCGGTTCCAGACCAATGGCCACAGCTTTACCTGGGAACTTGTTAGAAAGGTAGATTCTCTGGCCGCATCCTAGACCTGCTGAGCAGAGACTCTGGGGCGGGGCTGGATGACCTGTGCCTTAACCAGCTCTCAAGGGAGGCTGATGTCTGCTCCCATTTCTACCCCTTGAAGCAGATCCTCAAACGCACATGTTAAGTGTTCAGCACACTGGACTGTGCGGTGTTTAACTGCCTTATGGATTCACATACCAAAGTCAAGGTCATGAGTGAATGGGAAAGGTGGTACTGGAGACAAAGACCATTTGGGGCTGGTGCAGGCAGGGGAGACTCTGGTGGGGTGATGAGGGGAGAGAAGAGTCTCTGGGAGGCTTTGAAGGAGGTCTGTAGTGGGAGAGGGTACCCAGCACGGGCAAAGCATGAGCCCAGGAGGCAGGGATGATCTTGACCTGCAGGGATGATCTTGAACTGCAAGGGTGGGTGCCAAGCTGAGAGGTTCAGGACTTAGGACAGAAAGCAAGCAGATATTGAAGGGGCAAACACTGGTTCAGTTCATGTTTATCTGTCCCTCTGGCCCAATACTGTGTCAGGCACAGGGAAAGAAAGAGAGAGGAGGTGCAAGACAGATTGCAAACTCGCAATCTTGCAAAAAATTTGGGGCTATATGGGGCACAGGGCTTGAGGAGACCTGAGGCTCTGAGCTGAGTAAGGGCACTCCCGGTGGGAGGTCCCAAAGGAGCAAAGGCCAGGCAGGAAACCTGAGCAGGGCAGGTTTGGAGAGGGAGGTAGGGAAGTAGCAAACGGGTGGTGTGGCCCAGACCAGAGGGGCGGTAAGTACAAAAGTCTTCCGAGATGCTGGGGAGTCGGGAAAGTCCAATCAGTAATTCCTACTCATAGCTTCAGGTGGCTCAGGGAGGTGACAGCCTGCCTGACTGCTTTTGCCAAAAAAAAAAAAAAAAAAAAAAAAAGAGGATGGCTATTGCTTTTGTCTATAGCAATAATATATACGGATTATAGCACATAAAAAATGTCCTGCAAGGCCAGGTGTGGTGGCTCATGCCTGTAATCCTAGCACTTTTGGAGGCCAAGGTGGGAGCATCGCTTGAGCATAGGAGTTTGAGACCAGCCTGGGCAAAAGAGCAAGACCTCGTCTCTACAAAAAAATTTTTTTTAATTAGCTGGGTGTGGTGTCGGCACCTGCAGTCCCAGCTGCTGGGAGGCTGATGTGGGAGGATTGCTTTAACCCAGGAGGTTGAGGTTGCAGTGAACAATGACAGTGCTGCTGCGTTCCAGCCTGGGTGACAGAGCAAGACCTTATTTCAAAAGAAAAACACTAAAAAATCTCCCGTAGAGATTTGGTACAGTCATGCTATGAACACAGATAGTGTTGAGTGATGCTGTTTTTTAAGTTCACATAACACAGGCGAAGCTTTGACAATGTGATTTTTGTTGGACACATGTATTATAATGGGCCATCTAGGCCATTTCCAGATTTTCACTATTATAAAATAAATGCTGCTCTCTCTGTTTTTGCTCATAAATTTTTGGTTATATCTTTTGCTTTTCTTCCAATTTATTTCTAGAAGTGATTTTAGAGGGTGAAAGAGTGTGGGCATTTTTAAGGCTTAGTGATTGGAAGAGTGTGGGTACTATCAAATCCATTAATAACAAAAATCACGAAATTGCTTTTCAGGACAGCACTTGCCTCACTGCTTGGCCAGCATCACCATGAACATATTATACAGCATAGTTTTTGGATTTTTATTTTTTTTTTCAGATGGAATTTTTTGCTCTTGCTGCCCAGGCTGGAGTGCAATGTTGGCATCTAGTACTAATTATTCATTTTTAAAACAAAGTGAGCTTTTAATAATTTTAATAATATGGCCAGGTACCGTGGCTGATGCCTGTAATCTCAGCCCTTTGGTATGCTGAGGCAAGAGAACTGCTTGAGCTCAGGAGTTTTGAGGCCAGCCTGGCCAACATGGCGATACCTTGTCCCTACAAAAAATACAAAAAAATTAGCTGGGTGTGGTGGCCCCTGCTTGTAATCCCAGTTACTTGGGAGGCTGAGGCATGAGGCACAAGAATTGCTTGAGCCCAGGAGGTGGAGGTTGCAGTGAGCTGAGATTGTGCCACTGTACATCAGCCTGGGTGACAGAGCAAGATTCTGTCTCAAAAAAAA